AGAGCAATAAGACAAGAGAAAGACATACAAGGAATCCAAATAGGAAAGGAAGAAGTCAAACTATCGCTATTCGCAGATGACATGATAATATACACAGAGAACCCCAAAAACTCCAGAGAAAAACTAATTAAACTAATAAGTCAGTTTAGTAAAGTGGTAGGATACAAAATCAACACACAAAAATCGGTAGCCTTCCTATACACAAACAATAAATCTGAAGAAGAAGAAATCAATAAAACCATGCCTTCTACAATTTATACAAAAAAATCAAATACTTGGGAATAAACCTAACAAAAGAGTTGTAAAAACCTATACAAAGAAAACTATAAAACATAAAACACTACAAAAAGAGAGCCTCAGGGCCTCCCTGGTGGTGCAGTGGTTGAGCGCTGGATTGCGAAGCTGCCCGCAGCCTCTGCAGCGCCAGTTCGATCCCCGGCTGCTCCCCGGCCACCAGAGGAGGGTCCCACATGGCGCACAGACCTCTCCTGCCACCCGCTGCTCCCCTCAGCAGTGTACTTCAGTCCTTCTGCCTGCTCTGCTCGGCTCTGGCTCTGGTGAATTCTCTCACCCTCCCGCGCTTCTGACTGTACCCAGTGCTTGTATGTATAAATAAATAAATAAATCTTTTTAAAAAAACACTACTAAAGGAAATAGAGGAAGACAAAAAGAAATGGAAAGACATCATGGATTGGGAGAATTAACATTATCAAAATGGCCATCCTACAAAAAGCAATTTACAGATTCAATGCTATTCCAAGAAAAATTTCAATGACATTCTTCAAAGAAATAGAACAAATATTGATGAAATTCATATGGAGCCACCAAAAACCCAAATAGCCAAGTTTTCCTGAAAAAATAAAAGAAGGGAATGGAGGCATCACATTCCCAGACTTCAAACTATACTACAAAGCCATAATCATCAAAACTGCATGGCATTGGAACAAGAACAAACATGGACCAATGGAAATGAATAGAAAATCCACAAATAAACCCACAGATTTACAGTCAACTAATCTTTGACAAAGGAATAAAAGAATATGCACTGGAGAAAAGAAAGTTTGTTCAATAAATGGTGCTGGGAAAACTGAGTCGCTACATGTGAAAGAATGAAGCTGACTACTACCTCACACCATTCACAAAAACCAACTCAAAATGGATTAAAGAACTAGACATAAGACCTGAAACCATAAAATATATAAAAGGAAATATAGGCTAAACACTACATGACATGGACCTCAAAGACATCTTTACAGACACATCACCCAAAGCAGTGAAGTGAAGGCAAAGATTAACAGCTGGGACTACATCAAATTAAAGAGCTTCTGCACAGCAAAAGAGACAATAACCAAAACAAAGAGAAACCCCACTGACTGGAGAGAATTTTTGCACACAACACTAATGATAAAGGTCTGATCACAAAAATCTACAAAGAGCTGATGAGACACAAAAAAAGAAAAACAAAGAAAATAATCCAGTAAAAAATGGGCAGAAGAGCTAAAAAGAAACTTCTCTGAAGAGGAAATGCAAATGGCCAGCAGGCATATGAAAAAGTGTTCAACATCACTTGTAATCAGGGAATGCAAATCAAAACTGCAAAGAGAGACCATCTTACACCAGTGAGAATGGCACATATTAAAAAAACTAGCAACAACAAATGTTGGCGAGGATGTGGAGTAAAAGGAACTTTCCTGCACTGCTGGTGAGAGTGCAAACTGGTCCAACCACTATGGAAAGCTGTGTGGAGATTCCTCAACCTACTAAAGATAGAGCTTCCATATGATCCAGCAAGTCCACTCCTAAGTATTTACCCAAAGGACTCAGAAACAGTAATTCAAAAGGGCACCTGCACCCCTATGTTTATAGCAGCATTATTACAATATCTAAGCTATGGAACAACCCAAATGCCCAAAAATAAATGACTGGATCAAGAAGATGTGGTACATATACACAATGGAATATTACTCATCATTCAAAAAAGATAAACTCATGCAATTTGCAGCAACATGGATGGTTTTGGAAGGGATCATGCTCAGCGAAATAAGCCAGAAAGAAAATGAAAAATACTGGATGGTCTCACTCATAGCAGGAATTTAGAAAGCCTAAATAAGGGACCAGGAAAAAGACTAATTATAATAAAGAAAACATCAAAATCAACAAGCAACTATAAACCAGAGACACACTATGGGGAGTGGGGAAAGAGATGAGGGATTGGGGTCAAAATAAGGGGGGTGGGAATTGTATGGGGAATATAATCAAAAAGAAAATGTATACATTGTCAAAAATGAAAAATGATGTGAGATTTATATGAAATAAAATATAAAAACATAAAAAAAGAGCACCTGTGTGTTCACTGCAGCACTTTTCACAATAGATAAGAGCTGTAAACAACCTAAGTGCCCATGCACAGATGAATGAATAAAAATATTGTGGTATTTATATACAGTGGAATACTACTCAACAGTAAAAATCGTTGAAAACTTGCCACTCACTACATGGATGGATCTAGAGATTATTATGGTTATGCTCAGTGAAATAAGACAGATGAAGTACGGTAGCCATTGCATGATTTCACTCATATGTGGTACAAAAGGAAATAAAACAATTGAATGAAATATCTAAATATATAGGTTACCAGAAGGGAAGTGGAGAAAAGGGTATAGTGGGGGGAGGGAGGATAAAATCTGGCAAAAGATGATGAAGGAGAGAATTGGACTTTTAGTGGTGAATATAATTTAATATATTCTGAGTTGATTTATAATGATGTACATGTGAAACTTATTTAATGTTGTCAAGTAATGTTGCCTCAATAAAAAATTAAATAAAAAAATTAAAAAATACATCCTAAAACAAAACAAAACAAAAAAAAAAATACCTGTACCTCTATTTATTGCAGCACTATTTACAATAGATAAGATAAGGAAACAACCCAAATGCCCAAAAATAGATGATGGGATCAAGAACATGTGGCATATATACACAATGGAATATTACTCAGCAATCAAAATAGATAAACTCATGCCATTCCCAGCAACATGGATGGAGCTAGAAGGAATTATGCTCAGTGAAAAAAATCAGAAAGAATAAGAAAGTATCAGATGGTTTCACTTATAGGAGGAATGTAGGGGGATCAAATAAGGGATTAGAAAAAATTATTATAATAAATTAAAAAACAAAGTTAATAGTCAACTATTAATCAAAGATACTGTAGGGGAGGCGGAGGGAGAGGGATCAAAAAGGGAGAGAAGAACACAGGAACTATGGTGACTTGACGGTGCACAGATGAATTGGTGGTGGGAATTTTAAGGAACTACACCTGAGAGGAGAAAGGGTGCATTGTACAAACAGGAAGAATGATGTAAATGATGTGTGTGTATATAGATAGATAGATAGATAGATAGATAGATAGATAGATAGATAGATAGATAGATAGATATACATATACATACACATATATAATAAAAAAATGAGTAGATCTGAATAAACATTTCCCTGAAGAAAACATACTGATGGCAAATATATACATAAAAAGATGTTCATCGTCTCTTATTGTTAGGGAAATGCAAATAAAAACAAGAATGAGATATCAACTCAAGGCAGTGAGAATGACTATTACCCATAAGACAAGAAACAATAGTGCTAAAGAGGACTTGGAGAGAAGGGAAATCTTGTACTCTGTGGGTGGGAATGTAAATTGGTGAAGCCATTGTAGACAGCAAGATGAGACCCCTCAAAAAACTTAAAAATAGAAATTCCATATGATGCAGTTTCCTATTTCTGGGTTTTTACCTGAAAAATATTAATTTGAAGAAATATAAGCATCCCTGTGTATTGCAGCATTATTTATTATAGCCAAGAGCTGAAAACAACCCAAGTGCTTATTGTCAGATGATTGGATAAAAGAAAATGTGGTATATATGCAAATGGTACACTACTCTGATAGCTTAAAAAAAGATAAAATCCTGCCATTTGCAACAACACAGACAAAATGAAGGGTGTTGCTTCATGAAATAAGTCAAAAGGAAGAAGACAGATACCACATTTAACTCATGTGAGCTATCCAGAGAAATAATCAGATGAGCTAATAAAACAAAAATAAAATATAGACTATAAGATCATCTTAGTGGTTACCAGAGGGATGGGGGAAAGAGGGTAGGTAAATCAGTTAAAAAGGGTCAATTGTATGGTGAAGGATACAACTGGTTTTAGGTGGTAAATTTAATTTAGCGCATATGATGATTTGTAATGATGCATAACTGAAACAAATATGATGTTATAATGCAATGCTTTTCCAATAAAAAGATACTAAACAAAGAAAATAAAAGTGAGACAACGTAGCCAAGGGTGTGATAGCCTGGTCTGCTTAGAGAATTGTAACTGAAATAGGAGACAGAGAAATGAACTCTCTAAGTATGTATTTTCTGCTAACGTTTAGGGAGAAGGCAGACATAGGCAGGTGATGGCCTGGGTAAATTCTGACTTGTCACTGTCTGTTTACTTATGCTCACACACACAACAAATGTTCTGAATACAAATCCATCCTGCTCTGCACTGCCCCTCCAAAAATCAGAGAACTCCTGACTTAAGATAACAGAAAAGGACACACATTTTAATACTAAACTAAAATTGCAGTTAACAAGAAATTTCACAGAGCATTTGAACACCTCTGGGTGGATAAACAAATAAATAATTCTAGTTTCTGAACCTACAAATTCAAGTGTCAAATCACAAATACACCATGTATATGTGTCCTTTTCTTGATGCTATAGCTGTCTTTGACCTGACAACCTTTATTATCTGACAAACATGCAGAGCCAGGAGTGTGCAACTAGAATTAATTTTCTTTACAAGTATTTTTCTTCTTAATTTTAAATACTAAAGATTCCCTACTAGCCATTTTGACTTTCTTGTTGCTATGTTATTTGATTTTTTCCACAAATGGTGCTAATTCCCCTCACCCCAACCCCACCACACCCCCCACTTATCTTTTCCCCATTTACCTTTGGCTTTTCTAGCTCGCACAGCATATACAGCACCAAAGGTTGCAGCAACAACCAGGACAGGAAGGAGTACAGCAAACAGCACCATCCAGGGATAGGACCAGGGCAACAAGGCATCTGAAAAACAGAGATCTCACACTTAAGATCCACTTGACATCAGGTGACTTGGCTGGTGCAATGAATCCAAAGATATTTTCTTCTGGGAGGCATCATTAGGAAGGGAAGAAATTCAAATTTCACTCACCCTTCCCTACAACTCAAAGGATCTCAGGATCCTAAAAAGTTTCCTGTTTCCATTCTTCTTCCTAATGTATGGACACCCAGAAATGATTATTATATAATTTATAAAGGATTTTATATAAATTATGTCAATAATAATAAAATAATGCCTAAGATTCTGATGTACCCTCAATCAAGATTTAACAAATATTAATGGTTTAATATATTTATGACATTTAGTTTTCTATTATAACTTGAATTTATTGATTTTTGCTTCTCTCAACCCTATTATTTTCCTTCTTAAATCTTTCAACTCCTTTCTTCAACATAAAATTCTAAGTGGGAGACTTGTTTAATTTTCCCTCCTTTAACATTGCTTTTCTAAGTTTATTTTAAAAATCTCCTCCTCTGACATTTCTGTTTGCCAATTCCAATTTCAAAGTTTTTCCTTCTAATTGTCTTAAACCTGTGTGACTTTTCAAACTAAAGCATAATGAGCATTTTACTTGTTGACAAATGCCATACATGTTTTAAATTTATATATGGTGCAAACATATATCATGACTTAGTATTTTACTGAGTAATGGGAATATGAAAGAAGCAAGCTATAGTCTCCCCAGAGTCCATACTCCACCTGGGGAGACAGTGAAACATATAATCAAAATAATGTGAGAGTGAAGATGGCACTGAACAGAATGGCTTAAAGGTGGCTTCCTGGAAAGGAGGAGAAAGTTAGGTCTTGAAGGACCAGTAGGAAATTCCTAGTTACAGCAAAATAGAACATGATGCTAACAGCCTATGTGGATATTACATGGTTGAGGATGTAACCAGCTTGATGTGAAGTAAGAGAGACAGGAGAGAGAAGGGAAGGGAGCAATGGCAAATGAGGCTGGAGAGGAAAAACAGGACAAGAAATGGTCCTGCTGAAAGGCAAAGGAATTTAAATAAGGAAATTTGCTTTTAAGAGAAATTGCAGATCACTTGGGCAAAGTTTGAGCATTAACTAGTAGCTATTGAGAGTCGATGGGGTATCTGAGCTCTTTTCTGTCTGTGATATGAATTATCATATTGCTATGAGTTAATCATTATAACTGTCTTATAAGGAAGACTTATTATTCCTATTTAACAGGAAGGTCACAAAATTGGTAGGCAGAATTTCCAGGATTTGATAGATGGGATAAAAACACCAAATTTTTTTTTCAAGTTTGTATCTGTTTATTTTATTATTGTTTATTTCACAAAGAATGTTTTTGTTTTTGTTTTTTTATATTTATTTATATATTTTTACATCATTGTTCATTTTTGTACAAGTTTGTTTTCTCCTCTCAGGTGTAATCCCCATAAAATTACAACCACCAAAACACCCGTGAACCATCACCATAGTCTCTTGTGGTCTTCCCTCCCCTGTTTTGACCCCTCTCACTCCCCCTCCCCTGCTGAATGTCTCTGATTTATAGTTTGCCTGCTAGTATTGTCATTTTTTTAATGATCCCTTGTTTGGTTCCCCTATATTACTCCTATGAGTGAAACCATCTGACATTTTTTTTCCTGCTGACTTATTTACTGTGAATAATTCCTTCCAGCACAGATGACTGGATCAAGAGGATGTGTTATGTATATACAATGGAATACTATTCAGCAATCAAAAAAGATAAACTCATGCTATTTGCAGCAAAACACCAAATTGTTAAAAAACTATGAACCAGAGACACTTTTAGGGGGGCGGGGGCGGGAGGGAGGGATTGGGGTCAGAATGGGGGGGCTGCAATTGTATGGGGAATATAACAATAAAATTTATAAAAAAAAAAAAAAAATTGTTAAAAGGGTCTTTCCATAGGTAATGGGATTAGAAGTTCAGAAAAAACCTTGACAGATTCAAAATATTTCGTTACCCTTTTAAAGCTTCTGTGCATCTATGCATTCATTTATAAAGTAAAATAATTGCATTTCTCTGTCACAAAGAACTACAAAACAAAGCAAGATGAATGTTTACTAGCTATTCACAGAAGAGTGACAATGGATGAACTAGAACATCCTTCTAGGTCCTTCATCATAGGTCTGTGAGAGTCAGACCTTCCTGAACAGCAGTGATATCTCGGGACACTGACTCTGGAGGGAACTGACCTGCCACAGAAATGTGCACTTCCTTCTCCTCGCTGAGGACTGGGTTCCTTATGAGACAGGTCACATCTTTTGAACTTTCATCCACTGTTATAGATGTTTTCACCCCAAATAGTCCATTTCCTTCTGGTGCAATTGTCTCAGAGTCTGGTGCCAAAAGCTGTCCTTGCTGGTCCCTCCATTGCACCTGAGGCTCTGGAAACCACCCCGTGGATGTACAGGTCAGCTTAACTTCCTTGGTGTTACCAGGCTTAATGTGAATATGAGGAGCAGCACCTGAACCTGGAAAAATAAAAGAGAGGCAGAGAAAGTATACCACTTTCAAAAATGTTATTGCCTTTTCACACTTTATTATTTAATTTCAATCTCATATATATATAAGTGGGGTTTAAAAATACTGACCACAGGGCCTCCCCAGTGGCGCAGCGGTTGAGCGCTGGGTTGCAAAGCTGTCTGCAGCCTCTGCAGTGCCAGTTCAATCCCTGGCTGCTCCCTGGCCACCGGAGGAGGGTCCCACATGGCGCGCAGACCTCTCCTGCCACCCGCTGCTCCCCTCAGCAGTGTACTCGGTCCTTCTGCCTGCTCTGCTCCCCGCTCTGGCTCTGGTGAATTCTCTCACCCTCCCGCATTTCTGACTGTACCCAGTGCTTGTATAAATAAACAAACAAACAAACAAATAAATAAATAAATAAATAAATAAATTTCTCTGGGGCAAAAAAAAACTGACCATAAAGAAAGTTTGGGAGGAGAAAATTAAATCGGTTATCTTAAATTTTAATAAGTTCCCAAATACCAAATATATCTATACCAATTGTTTTCTTTGTCCTCCCTTTCCTTTAAAACATTACCAATCATTTTATGAGATGATTCTTAAAGTTGGTAGCAGGACACTATCAACCCATTTGAAGACTGTAAAATTAAGGGAGCACCTAATATAGTGACCCCTTAAAACATATGTTCAAATCTAATCTTTAATATCTATAAACGTGAACCTATTTGGAAATACCCTCTCTGTGGTTTAGAAATTGATAAAATGGAGTCGCATTAATGTGGGCACTAATAAAAAAATGACAAATATTTTATATAAACAAGAGGAAATTTGGACATGAAGACATGCCATAATGACCTGGATGGCACGGTGGTGGCTCCCAGTGCTGGTACAAAGGTGAAGACAGAGACTGGAATGATTATGTCACAAGTGAAGGAACACCTGGGGCTAACAGAAGCCTGAAGAGGCAAGGAAGAATTCTCTAGACATCTGAGTGGGAGCATAGCCCTGAAGACACCTTGATTTTAGACTCTGATCTCTAAAATTGTAAGAAAAAGAACTTGTTTTCAAGTCACCCAGTTTGTGGTATTTACTTACTGGAACCCTAGGAAACAAGTACAACCTCCTATTAAACTGATGAAGGATATTATATAAACACCTGATGTTGCCTGAATGTCCAGACCCTGGAGAAACACCATGAGATGACTAGTGAGTGATGCTCTAAGCCCATGATGACCTGGAGGCACAGCGGTGACTCCCAGTGCTGGTGCTGAGACACTGTATTTTCAGAAGGTTACAGCTTTTACAAGTAGTACATGATGGTTATGAGGATAAATTCTAGATCAAAGTGTAGGATTTGTACTCACTGCCATTAGCAAGAGAGTCCAACTAATGACTTTATCTTTATGCCTCAAGTCTCTTTCTGTGAAACAAGAGTAATAACTATCTCAAATCTTTGGGTTGGTGTAAGCATTATCCCATAAGCATTGCTTAGTGGTTCATAATAGCAAACATGACTCATCTTAAAAAGTTAATCATTTAAGAATACAAAGGAAAGATGGTTTCATTCATCTCTTGGGGATTTTCATTTGAAAATGTATCCCATTATGATCATGTTCAGCGAAATAAGCCAAAAAGAAAAAGAAAAATACCGGATGGTCTCACTCATAGCAGGAATCTAGAAAACTTAAATAAGGGACCAGGAAAATGAATAACTATAAGAAAGTGAAAATCAAAATCAACAAAAAATTATGAACCAGAGACACTTTTTGGGGGGCGGGGGCGGGAGGGGAGGAATTGGGGTCAGAATGGGGGGGCTGCAATTGTATGGGGAATATAAAAATAAAATTTATTATTTAAAAAAAAAAAGAAAATGTATCCCATTATATCTTAGACTTTGGCTATCTCTTGGGGAAATTGAAGGAAAATATGGCTATAGGTAGCTGTTTTCTATAGACAATATATTTAACATGAATTTGTAGAAACATGATCAATATTTAATTCCGGTATCAGATTTTCTGGGGATAGAATAGTAAAGTTATTTGTTTTTTGGGTTTTGGGTGGGGAAGTATTTATTCATTTATTTTTCCACTCACCCTCCACTAAACCCTAAGTGCCCAAATCCCATCAACCTCTGTCTCCTAACCCTGCTCCTTGCCCCCTGTGCCTTCTGATAACCATTATATTCTTTCACTGAATTCAACATTTATTCCTACGATTCTTTGTGTGAAAATTGTTCTTTGAATCACACAATTTTGTTTTTCTTATTAAATGTATGTGCTAAGGGTAAGAAAATCCTCTGTAAATTTTGCTGTTTTAACCACTCTACTCCAGCACCAACTATAGAATAAGAAGGTGAATAGAAACTGCCAGTAGGGCTGGGGATGGGGGGTATGCATTATTTAAGAGGCTAGAAAAAAAAGTATTCTAATTGTTTTCTAACTCATTATCTAATCTGGCTTATGATACCAGGGATCAAAAAGAAGACAAAATTGCCAGGACCAGAGGAAAATCGGGTTACTGTGATTCTTCATCTTAGGAGTTTCTAGCTGGCTTGAGATCTGATAAGCTAATTAGATGGTATAGTTCAGTGTTGAGTTGTGACTTTAAGCAGAATTTAACTCAAATTTCACTGAAATTCAGGATTCTTCAGAAATTTCATTGCCCACAACCCACTGGATATTTCAACAACACAATGAATGAACTGCTTGTACTTAAGGTGTGAAAGAACTCTTCTCTGGGAGGGAGTACAGGACTCTGGGTTTTCCTGTAGAGATTGCATCTCCAGCAGGAAGTGATTACTGACCCTGGGCCAGACTTCACTCTTTTTTCCTTTTTTGTTTTTAAAGATTTATTTATTTTTGCATATAAGAGCTAGAGTGTAGGTAAGAGGTGCAAGGGGTAAGGGGAGTCACCAGAGACAGAGTGGGGAGAAGAACAGGCAGATCGAATGAAATACACTGCTGAGGGGAGCAGCGGGCAATGCAGGAGAGCTCTGCTGTGCCATGTAGGTTAGCTCCCTGGCTGGGGATCGAACTTGTGCTGCAGTGACTGCTGATAGCTTCATAGTGCTGAAACTCAACCCTTTGCCCCACCATAGAGGCCCTGCCAGACTTCACTCTTTTAAGATGAGGGATAGATCAAAGAAATGTGTTTAAGAAAGCATACAACCAAAAAGATCACAGGAAAACATGAAGTCTCCTCATAGAAAGCATCAGGAACTCTGAGAACCTAGCATTTGCTCTCAGACTGGCAAAAATAAAAACTCTTAATGCTACATGGCACCACACACTACACTAGGTGTAGGTGATGGGCACAAGTGGATCCAGCCCAGGAAGAACAACCCAAGGTCATAGAAGCATTCACATGAAAAAGGTAAGAATATAGGGCTTTATTTTCCTGATTTATATGGCTGAGTAACAGATATAAAAAGGAAATGGTTCTCACTATAATCAATAAACATGACTAAAAGGGCAGCCTTCCTGGAAAACATGCAAAGTATAAGTCCCTAAATTTAGGGAGCACAAAAGACTTACTCTTAGTAAAACATCTGGATTCTTCAGAATATATTTATGATTACTTATTATATCAATATTCATATACAAACTTATACAATAGGCTCAAAGGTGATAATTGCCTAAATAGCAAGACAAAAATTTGTTTCATAAATTTGGAATTCATTCCATGAGGACACAAGTATATCTTGCATCTGCATATTTTAAAGTTAGTTAAAATATAAAATCTAGAATATTTCTTATTTTTTAAATTTTTTTTATTTTTTTATTTATACAAGAAATGGGGTACAGTCAGAGGTGCGGGAAGGTGAGAGAATTCACCAGAGAAAGCAGGGAGCAGAACAGGCAGACGGAAAGAAGACACTGCAGAGGGGAGTTGCAGGCAAGGCAGGAGAGGTCTGCCACACCATGTGGGTTGCTCCCTGCACAGCTGGGAATTGAAACTGCACTGCAGAGGCTGTGGACAGCTTCACAGCATGGTGCTCAACCTGCTACACCACTGGGGAGGCCCAATTTATTTTTTTTAAACAATATTTGCTTCCCCCACCCCCTCAGGTTGAGTCCCCATAGAATTTCCTTCCCAAAGGCAACCATGCACCATCGCCAGTCTCCTGTTCTCCTCCCTCCCTCCCTCTGATTCCTCTCCCTCCTCCCTTGCGGTATGTCTCTAATTTGTAATTATCTGTTTTTGCTTTGTTGTGTTTTGTACTGTTATTTTTTTTACACTGATGTCTTATTTGGTTCCCCTATATTCCTGTTATAAGTGAAACCATCTGATATTTTTCTTTTTCCTTCTGGCTTATTTCACTGAGCATAATTCCTTCTAGCTCCATTCATGTTGCTGCAAATGGCATTTGTTTATCTTTTTTGATTGCTGAATAATATTCCATTGTGTATATATACCACATCTTTTTGATCCAGTCATCTATTTTTGGGCATTTGGGTTGTTTCCAGGTTTTACCTATTGTAAATAGTGCTGCAATAAACATAGGTGTACAGGTGTTCTTTTGAATCAATGTTTTTGTGTCCTTTGGGTAGATCCCTAGGAGTGCCATTGTTGGGTCATATGGTAGCTCCATTTTGAGTAGACTGAGGAAACTCCAGACACCTTTCCATAGTGGTTGGATGAATTTGCACTCCCACCAGCAATGTAGGAGAGTTTCTTTTTCACCACATCCTCACCAACATTTATTGTTGCTTATTTTTTTAATATGTGCCATTCTTACCAGTGTTAGATGGTATCTCAGTGTGGTTTTGATTTGCATTTCCCTGATGATAAGGGATGTTGAACATTTTTTCATATGCCTGTTGGCCATTTGCATTTCCTCTTTGGAGAAATGTCTTTTAAGTTCTTCTGCCTTTCTTGACTGTATTGTTTATTTTGTTTTTGTTGAGTCCTGTGAGTTCTTTTTATATCTTTGTGATCAGTCCCTTATCAGTTGACTGGAGTGCAAAGATTTTTTCCCCAATCAGTGGGATGTCTCTCTGTTTTGGTTCTTTGGCTGTACAGAAACTTTTCAGTTTGATGTAATCCCAGGTGTTTATCTTTGCCTTCGCTATCACTGCTTTGGATGATGAGTCTTTAAAGATGTTATTGCAATGTATGTCTTGTAGTGTTTTCCCTATATTTTCCTCTATATATTTTATGGTTTCAGGTCTTACATCCAGTTCTTTTATCCACTTTGAGTTGATTTTTGTGCATGGTGAGAGGTACTGGTCTAGTTTCATTTTTTTGCATATGGAGGCCCAGTTTTCCTAGCACCATTTATTGAACAAACTGTCCATATTCCATTGCTTATTCTTTGTTCCTTTGTCAAAGATTAGTTGTTCATATAAGTGTGGCTTTATTTCTGGGCTCTCTACTTGGTTCCATTGGTCTGTGCGTCTGTTTTTGTTCCAATACCAATTTTAATTATTATGGCTTTGTAGTATAGCTTGAAGTTTGGAAGTGTGATACCTCCTTTCTCCTTTGTTTGCATCAGTAGGACTTTGGTTATTTTTGTTTTTTTTGTGGTTCCATATAAATTTCATTAGTATTTGTTCTATTTCTTTGAAGGATGTCACTGAGATTTTTATTGGAATAGCATTAAATCTGTATATTGCTTTTGGGAGGATGGCCATTTTATTTATTTATTTTTTTTTAATAGAGGCATGTTTTATTTATTTATTTGTTAGTTTGTTTGTTTTATTTATACATGCACTGGGTACAGTCAGAAGCGCGGGAGGGTGAGAGAATTCACCAGAGCCAAAGCAGGGAGCAGAGCAGGCAGAAGGACTGAAGTACACTGCTGAGGGGAGCAGCGGGCAGCACGAGAGGTCTGCGCACCATGTGGGACCCTCTTCTGGTGGCCGGGGAGCAGCCAGGGATTGAACCGGCGCTGCAGAGGCTGTGGGCAGCTTCACAACCCAGCGCTCAACCACTGCGCCACCGGGGAGGCCCAGGATGGCCATTTTAATAATGCTAATTCTTCCAATCCATGAGCAGGGGATGTCTTTCCATTTCTTTGTGTTGTGTCTTCTTCAATTTCTTTTAACAGTGTTTTATAATTTTCTTTGTATAGGTCTTTCACCTCTTTTGTTAGGTTTATTCCCAAGTATTTGATTTTTTTTTTTTGCTTCAATTATAAAAGGTATGGTTTTCTTGATTTCTTCTTCTTCAGATTGATTGTATATAGGAAGGCCACTGATTTTTGTGTGTTGATTTTGTATCCTGCTACTTTACTGAACTGGTTGATTATTTTGAGTAGTTTTTCTGTGGAGTTTTTAGGGTTCTCTATGTATATTATCATATCATCTGCAAATAGTGATAGTTTTACTACTTCTTTCCCTATTTGGATTCCCTGTATGTCTTTCTCTCGTCTTATTGTCCTGGCTAGGACCTCCAGTATGATATTGAAGAGCAGTGGTG